CACACTCAGAACTGATGTTTTGCCAGCTATCTGGGCATCCCTTAGCTTAGTCAAGTTGACACAAAATTAACCATCAAAATGAGCAACAATGCTGTTCTTTGTGAAGGTGCAGCTGGATGTATTGGAGGCACATTTGGTGCCTAATTATGGTGGCCTCCGCACCTGCGGCACGGTTTCACCAGCAGAGGGCAATGCAGGAACAGAAGTCAATGAAACGGGGAGGGGGTGTGACAGTAGAAGGTTGTGCTGGGACAGATGTTCCAAAACCCAGTTCCAGAAGTAACATTGTACTTGATAGATTTTCTGCCTCTGATTAACTGTTGTGGCTGCTTTTTTCACCTGAGCTCGGTAGGGAAGGAATGAAGAGTTACTCGAAACACAGTGTTTAGAGAAGGGGAGAAGCCAAAGTCTGAAGGAGAAAATGGCCTCCTCAGCCAAGTTCCTCCCATATTTATTTCCAAGGACACGTGCAAGGGGTCAGGGCCATTTGCTAATTTCTTTAACAGCTTCCATGCAGGTCAGCTGTTTTCAGCTGACCTTCACACACAGCAAACAAGCAGCTTCAGGCAGGCGTTTTCGCCTGATCCTTCATTCACCTTGCTCACGTTCTTTCCATCCATCCATCCTTTCTTCTAGGCCCAACCCCCACACGTCCCCTTTTTGTGTATTTAAAATTAGAGACAGAGTGTGAGTAGGGGAAAGACGTAAGCCTCAGTCAGTGTCTTTTCATAATGGCTTTGGGAGGTCATTTGGCAGATCCATCCTGGGAAGTAAAAGAGAAACTGACAAGACCAAGCACGACTGGTTGATAATGTATTTTTAGGTGGTCATGGGAATGCGCCATGATGTATTATGTAATTTGGTAACACCCACAGGAGGATTAGAGGAATGATAAACTATTGACTCTGTGATATAAGCCAGTCTGTTCCACTTCTCTATCAGGAACGTGGAGGCAACCATACTCCTCCAGTCCACATTGAGGCATTGGTAGACAGGTCTCCAAGCCTCAAGGGTTAACCCAGGTGATACAGGCACATCCTGTACAGACTGACACGCTGAGCAGGCAGGTATTGTGTGACGAGCTTGTTTCTGGGTAGTGGGAAACTGTTTAGTAAGCGTTCCAGCGTTTTGGTGAAAGAACGATGGGATGTTATAGCATTTTTAAAGGCATTAGTGGAACATACATGGTAGAAAACGAGACAATCAACGGCATCATTTCCTTCTGTCAGAGCCCCAGGCAAAGGGGTAGAGCATGAATATGAGAAATAAAGAGGGGGTGTCTCAGGATATCTAATAAGCGCTGCAGAACAAGGAATTGTTGAAATTCGATTAGGTATATCCTTAATGATAGCATTTTCAATATGAAGAATGGAATAGGATATATAATGGGAGTCAGTAATGATGTTTAGGGGTTCTAATGGAAATGTTTTTAAAGCTAACATAAGCACCCCTAGTTCTGCTTGTTGAGTGGAAGGAAAACCGGAGGTGGATAAGTATTTCCAATCACCGTCTTTCCATGCAATTCTTGCTTTAGATGATCGTCCTGAGCCACCTACGAACACTATCCAGGCGGCAGGAGAGGTGTGGGGGAGAGCTTTGTAAGAGGTTGTGCAGAAAATAAGGAGAGAGTGGAGAGAAGCTTGTTGGAGGGGTAATGGAAGGAAAGAGAACCTACACGATTTACAAGGGCTGATTGCCAAAGGAATTACGTAAAGTTGTTTCAAAGCAGTTTTTAGGAATAGGGAGATATATAGTGTGTGGATCTAATCCAAGTAATTGTTGTGTATGACAGCATCCCTTAATAAGCAAAGGGGCAAAGAGATCTAGAAGGGGAGGAAAGTTTTGGGGGAGTGCGAGGTAAAAATAACCATTCCAAAGGAGCAATGTGAGGTGTTAATTGGCCTATAAGAGCAGTTGGAGACAGGGGGTGTTGAAGGTAAGTAAAAGAACCGGTTTGTCTGGGTTGCAGTGAATGTGAAAAAAGTAGATAACCAAGATAGCGTCAGGGTTGGGCAAGTTGTGTTTTTGTCTTAGGTAAGTTGCATTTTGACTGGGGCAACTTGTAGCCTAAGGAGGGCAGTATACGTTTGTACATGGGCAAACAATTCTGCTTGAGGAGGAGCTGCTAATACGTCATCCATATAGTGATGCGTGATAGTGGATGGAAATTGGTGTCAGGAGGGAAGCAAGCCTCGATGAACATAATGTTGACAAGTAGTGGGACTATTTAACATTCCTTGCGGAAGGATTTTCCAGTGATACCTGTCAACCCGATGGGCATTATTATACGTGGGAACAGAAAATTTAAATCTTTCCCAGTCTTGTTTTGCTAGAGGAATGGTGAATAAACAATCTTTCAGATCAATTACAAAGGCCAATCTCTTGGAATTAACGACGGCTGGGGAAGACCGGGTTGTAGCGGTCCCATCAGGACTATAATAGCATTAAGAGCTTTTAAGTCCTGTAGTAAATGCCACTTATTGTTCTTTTTAGGTATGATGAATGCAGGAGAAGGTCCATGGTCTCAGGGAAGGTTCTATGTCCTGCTTTAAGTTGGTCCTGGACAAGAGATTAAGTGTTTTGTCTTGCTCAATGGACCACTGCTCCATCCAGGTGAGCGAATTAGTCCATTGCAAAGGTGTGGGTTGTATTGGATGCACCTGAGCAGTGGGGCCCTAATGAAAGGTCCGGGTAGTTAGAAGATTCCATTGTTCTAGCAAATCTCGTCCCCATAAAGATTGGCCTCTCATAGGCAATGTTGAAAAGTGGATGGTTTACCAGGGGTGGAATAGAGATTCCGGATTAGAGTCCTTAGGAAGATGTAAGGGAGTCAGCGCTGTTGGCACCAGGCTCCATGCAGTTAACGCGGCAAGGGGCACAGGAACCTCCCTGCCCAAAATTCTTCTCAGACTTCCCTACTCGCTCCCAGAGTTCTAGTCTAACGTGCTGTCATCCGGGAACCCGGGGCAATGTTGCCTCACTGCACATAGGAGCTGCTGTAAGGCTTTCGGTTCAACACGACACTGGGCAGCTTTCAAGAGCTGCTGCAAAATGCGCAGGTAGAGTCGCTGATCTTTCTCCAGCTCTTGCCCCGAGTTAGAAATGCCCTTCTGAAACCACACGCGTCCGTCCCTTTCCCAAAGCAGCGGGCGGGACTGTCCCTTACCGGGAGGATGCTCCTTGTAGTCCGGACGCGCGGATTCCCGAATCACGTCGGGGTCACCGCTTGTTGCGGCTGCTTTTCGCTCCTGAGCTCGGCAGCTAAGGACTAATTACTCGAAACACGTAGCGTTTAGAGAGAAGAGGAGAAGCCAAAGTCTGAAGGAGAAAACGGCCTCCCCAGCTAACCTCCTCCCCGTATTTATTTCCAAGGACACGTGCAAAGGGTCAGGGCCCATCTGCTAATTTCTTTAACAACTTCCATACAGGTAGCTGTTTTCAGCTGACCTCTGCACTCAGCAAATAAGCAGCTTCAGGCAGGCGTTTTCGCCTGACCACTCACCTTGCTCACGTTCTTGCCATCCATCCATCCTTTCTTCTAGGCCCAGCCCCCACAATTAACCATCCAATGGAATTAACCAAAAACAACTAGATCAAAAGCCTTCAAAAACTGGGGGTTGCATTGCCTCTGAAACCACAAGGGTAGCCCCAAACAGCCTACGATTGCACCCCAACAGTGGTTCTCAAACTTAGCTGTGCATTAACATCACCTGGGGAGTTTTAAAATTACCCATGCCAGGCCCCACCTACATCCAGTGAAATTTGTAACTTTGGTGGTAAGGCCCTTCGAAAGCTCCCGCAAATGATTCTAGTGTGAATTCAAGGTTGACAAGCACTGCTCCACACTTAAGCCAATCCTTCGGCTCCCATCTCCAATAGGAAGCAGACACCTCTATGAGAGGTATTCATTCCTAGCAGGGTGGCCAGATACAATACAGGATGCCCAGTTGAGTTTCAGAGCAACAAATAATTTTTTTTTATAACTATGTCCCAAATATTGCATAGGACATACTTATCCTACAAATGTTATGCAATTCTGCATTTGTATTTGCTAACTCTGGCCACCCTAGCCCGCAAGCCTCACCTCAGAGATAGCCACGGAGAACATTTTTCCCAAATGCAGAGCAGAGAACAACAGAGAATCTGACCAAGGCTTTTAGCCAACTGCCAAGTGAGGAGCCCATGCTGGACCGTGGGCAGGGTTTGCTAGACCGTCACTAATATGAGCACTTAGCACAGAGCCCAGCACTCTGTAAACCTTCAACAAACTTTGGTCATCATGCTGAGGAAAGCTTCATTTATGAAAATGAACTTATGTGCATAAATAGGCACCGCAGTGAGCATCCCCTTGGTATTCATTTAAGCAGAAAATCTTTCTGTACCACATCAACTGTGATCTGGTTTATAAAATAATGATGTCAATTTCAACTTTCCAGGAACGTATTTCCAGGAAAACATCTGGTGTTACTGTGGTTTCTGCCCCTTTTCATGTTTCTCTACCCTTCTCCCAGTATCCTTGTCAGTCAGGATTCTGATTAGTTGGGAAAACAAAACCAGTAGAGTCAGTCATCACAAGGAAAAGGCTGGTTTACCTTTATGTAAGAACCACCGATATTTTCAAATGCAGTGCAGTGCTGGGCAAAAACATTTAATAAGCATTTGTCACTTGACATACATGGTACAGTTTCTGCTGAGATAGCTAATCACACTCATGGATCCACATGCTGGAGGAAAAGGGGAGGAAAGATGAAGAGGTTGTCCTAAGATGTCTAAGAAAACACCCAGTACATAACACAATGCGACAATAGAGATCAATTACAGAAATTAAATACGATACACAAATTGAAACTAAAGGAGGGCCCCAGCGTGTGGCTGGGCATGGCGGGTGGGGACCCACAGGAGAGGTGGCTGCCAGGGTTGTAAGATCACTGCCTGGCTCAGGCCCCTGGTCCCCACTGGGCCCACCGAGGTCACTGGGTTCCTCGCTGCTCCCAGGCCGCTCAGGCATTCAGCTTGAGGTTGGTGACGTATTCCTGGACCCAGGCCTCACTGGGGTCGGCACAGACCTGCCGGCCTCTCTTGGTGAGGAAGCTGTGGAGAAGGGGGGGAGGATTAAGCACTGAGGAGCCCATCAGGGAAATCCTGTGGCCCCTCCATCCTTCTCTGCCCCAGACATCTCAGGGCCTCTTCACAGGCCCATAAAATGTCCCCTTACCCTTGGGGTTCATGGACCTTCCCCGAGTGCCTCAGATGGCAGCTTCCCCAGGGCAGGTCCTTCATGACTCTTCAGGCTCCCCCAGACAGATCAGAAAATACTTCAGGGGCCTCCCCTGGAGTCCTGCACCCTTAGAAAGTGGAGTACTCTGAGGGGGCCTCACCCCAGACCTCCCGGCCTGCCTCCCCAGGGGTGGGCAGGAAGACTGGCCCTTACACGACAGCTGGCCTGGAGCACAGGCTGCTGGTCTCAGAATAGGCGTCCACAAATCTGAGTGGAATCGCCCGGGAGATATAGGAGAAGCAGCAGGCGGTCGGGGTGCCGGCTCCAACTGTGAGAGACGGGACAGAAAGATCTTCAGTCACTGCTCAGAAGAAAGGGCAAGCCTTTTCTTCTCTCTTTCGGTGATGCTCACTCTCTGTCTGTCTTGGTTCTGAATCTTTATGGCTCTCTACAGGGAATTTAGTTTTCTGAGCAAACTTCTTCTTGTCCTCTCTCTCCTTGGGGAGTTCCATCTGGAATTCATGAGGAGAGGCCACATCCCTGGGAACCACTGGGACTCGGATTCTATCTCTTGCCAAAATACCAGGTGGGCCTCTATTTTCTCACTCTCCCTCTGTCTCCCAGAGTGAGAGAAGAGAATTTCTAGAACCGCTTAGGAAGAAAAACTCCCCAAATTCTTCTCTACTTGTCAGGCACAGACTTTGGCATTGTGGTCCAAGCATGGCCAGAGAGTAGGGGCACAAGGGCAGGAGACAGACTCACACAGGCAGAGCAGGTCTGGGGGCAGAGGGCCTCCATGAAGAACAGGATGGTGAGGGCGGCCACGGGCACCTGCATGATGCTGGGCAGAGTGTGAGCCCAAGCGGTGGCCTAGTAGAGTTGAACTTGAGGACTTGCAGCTGCTGCCTCCTCTGGGGTCTCAACTCTCTCTCCTCTTTATAGGAAGCCTTGGCGCATTAGAAGATGTAAACTTGGGGAGACTGAAGGGGGAAATTTTTAATCATCATGTTGGTGTCATGCTGTGTGTTGCACAAACCCAGAGAGCTTTGTGTCACTACGAGGGTTCAGTCTGTTTGCAAGAATGGCTCAGTTGCTTACTTGATGGGGAAATGGTTTCCACAGTGAGAGGAGGTGAGATGCTGGTGTCACCCCAAGACCGGGTTAGCTGGTGCCTCCTCACAAGAGCAGATCTGTAGATAAAATATTTCTCCCACAGAGTCGAAACTTCTTATATCCTCCCCAGTGGTTCCAACGGCATAGATGTACCATTGATGAGAAAGCCAGAGAGTCGTGAGAAGTGCAACCCAAGATAAAACCACGCCCTGGATGGAGACAGAAGATTGGGGAAACCTCAGCTACAGGAGGCGCAAGGTTGAGGGGGGCCTTCAGACATTGGTTCATTCTTCAAACATTCATTGAACCTCTACAATATGCCAGTCCCCCAGCTGGGTTAGCTGGGAGCTAACACGAATGATGAGCCTTAAAGTGTTGTTACCCTTTGATCAGCAAAGCACCCTGCCAGGGATCTAGGCTGTGGCTATAAACACAAAGATGAAGAAAGTGTTTGTCCCAGTTTATTTGTAACAGTTAAAAGATGACCTACAATTTAATAAACTATGGTATAGTCACCTCTTGTAAGAATAATTAGCACTTAAAACTGAGAAAGTAATAAGAAATTTAAAAAAGAAGTTGTTCTTTCTCAAAATTCCTGGAACATTTCCTGTTTCCTTATTGTAAAGTCAAGATGGCCATTCCCAGAGTTTGTCTGGCAGCTCAATGATGTTATCCAGAACTCAGGCTTCTGAAAACATCTCCCTTTTCCCCATCATTTTGTTGGCTTTTCTTCTTTGGGCTTGCCACCTCATGATCACAAGATGGCTTCTGCTTCTCGGTCATCGCATCTTCACATCACATAGGAGGGGTCTTATAGGAATACAGAAAGAACAATGTTACTAGTGTTTATTATTCAAATTACTTTTACATGACTTAAAATGTGAAATACAGATTATGCCCAAAAGTAGTAAAACCTATTTTTAAAAATATGTGAAATACAGAAAATAAAAACTAATTTATGTAAGACTATATAAAAAACTAATATTATATATATATATAAGGGTAGGCAGCAGGGCAAATGCAGGCAAGAATGTGGGGGTTTTCCTCTACATTCTTACTTTCCTATTGTGGCATACATGAGTTCCGAGGCATATTCTGAGTCAAAATTTTTTTCCTTGAAGGTAAGAAAAATTCTATTACCTAAAACTTACCACTATTAATAGTTTAGTTTATTTTTTTTAAGTGAAGTTTTTTCCTAGGCTTACGGTAGTTCTGTTTGCTTACTTGCTTTTTTCCTTCTTTTTACTGTGTGTCGGGGAGGGGTGGATTATTGTCATGATACAGATGTAACTGTATTTTTCTTATTTATACAGTCGTGTGTTGCTTAACATCAGGAATATATCTGAGAAATGTGTCATTAGGCAATTTTGTCTTTCATCGTTGTGCAAACATCATGGAGTGCACTTACACAAAGCTAGATAGTTTAGCCTACTACACACCTCGGCTGTACCACATAGCTTATTGTTCCTAGGCTATGAACCTGTACAGCGTGTTACCATACTGAATACTCAGGCAACTGCAACGCAGTGGTAAGTGTTTGTGTATCTAAGCATATCCAACTATAGAAAAGGTACAGTAAAAACATGGTATTATAATCTTGTGGGACCACTGTCATATATGCAGCACATGACAGTACTTAATGTAGAAGACTTTTCCAAATCATTCCAGTATTTTTAAGAACTGCCTAATTTGCTCACCCATCAGCTTAGTGAATTCATGTAATCATGCAGTACTGTAGCACATTTAAACTGGTTCCAATTTTTAATTGTTATAAACTGTACCAAACATCTTCATGCCCAAAACTTTCTCCATAAACGAGGTTATTTCCATAGGATATTTTCCTAGCTGTAGGCTTCCTGCGTCAAAAAAATAAGGACATTTAAGGATCCTGGTGTATACAGATACTCTTACCTAATGCATGTCAGCTCTGTTACCCATTGTCAATGCCAAGTATGGCATATTGTAGAGATCTGCGAATGTTTGATAAATCAAACAGTGATTAAAAGGTTGACCTCATCATTCTTATCATTCCTGTAGCCCAGACCTTCCCTATTCCATTCTGTCCATTTGGGGCTGGATCAAACACAGACCCTTGGCTTACTTAAGATTCTGCGGCACCATGATGTATGTCCCACGTGCAGCCAAAACACCTGTGAAGAACACTGGACGTATCTTATCCGTGGGAGGAATGAGAATGGTGCTATTTGTGGCTAGATCTGTTCCTGGTAGAAGACGCCAGCTAAACTGAGCCTCTTGGTGACACCAGCTCTTGACTTCACCCTCACCGGTTAACCATTTCTTAAGAACACTCCAGTCAACATGATGTCATGGTCCTTTTCACCCAAGGTGTGGTTTGGCTGTGACTCTTGCTGCCCAGGATGCTGTGGCATCCCACTGTAGGTCACCCCTGTGGTCAGAAGAGCTGTAGCGCAGCATCAGAGATGTGCTCTGTGGTGGAATCAGATCTGTAGATCTCTCCGTGTACTTATGTTTCTAACACTAACATCTCACCTCCTCTCACTGTCAAAAACATTTCCACATAGTCATCCCCGACAAGGGAGCAATTGAGCTCTTCCTGTACATCTTGAACCCTTGTGGGACCCCAGCGTGTGCAATTGCACCATGCAATTCACATCTTCCCCTCTGGTCATCCCTAGTCTCCAGCTCCTCATGGTCTAGAGTTGCCTAGAAAGGGCCAGGGACATGGCTTGGGCCCCAGAAGGGTATAGGCAGCAGTAAGTGCCCAGTCCTGTCTTGGCTTTGTCCACACTCCTCCACCTGCCCAGCACTGAACATGTTCCAAAAGCTGCCCTTGTCAACCATCTCCTCACCATGGCCCTCACCCCACAAGTCTCATCTGTCCCACAAGACTCTCTGAACCCTTGTCCTTTCTTCATTTTAGAGTTTTTCCCAATGCTCTGGACAGAAATCTAAACCACATCTCTTAATTCCTGCAGCTGAAGACTCTTTAAGTAAAAGCAAAGAACTTCACAGGTTTCAAAATGTTCTGGGCTATTTTCCATGGACTTTAATCTAGTTTCTGGGTCTGAAAGGCAAGGGAGGTCTAGGATCCCCTTTTAGTTGGGAAAACTAAGGCCTAACTCAGCCGTTAACAAGATGCAAACTCCAGATCTCATTGGTCCCTAGGGTGAAAAGGGTGAGCAAATGGCAGATTATCCTCAGTTCCGCTCTTAGGGTGATTTACAGAAGATGAGCTCTTGCTGGGAAATGTCTCCATAGACTGAAGTTCCCCTAAAAGAAATGGAACAAGGGACAGCTGTTCCAATAGCTATATTCCCTGAAGAGAGAGCTAAGAACTGAGAGTAAGACAAAGGCAGAGATTTAAAATAAAAACTCAAGGTAGAGAAGAAATGCCTGACTTCCTTGGTTCCTCTTGTGCCCTACTCCACAGCCCTGAGCAGTGATGTCTCCATCAACTTCTTGCTGGCCCCTTCGGAGGGTGGAAGAAGTTGACTTGGCTTTTCTCAGGCTCTGCATGCCCCTTCCCTCACTGCTTAGGGCAGACACCCCACGGCCTGCTGCCTCTGTTATGTCTCTCCAGATCCACTGAAAATTTCCTGATGGTCATTGTGACTCCCGCAGCCAGTGCTCTATGCTGGCATCACGTTGGGACCAGTCCTCCTGTTTATGGATAGGCAGGGTGCATGGAGGAGACAACCCATGGGACAGGGGCAGAAAGCAGGTAGGCAGCGGTGGGAAGGTGGGAGCTAATCTAGATTTCTTTGCCCAGTGAAAATGCCCTTCAAAAGTAAGGTAAGATGAAAACACTTCCAGGAAAACAAAAACTGGAGACTTCATCATCAGAAGACCCACAATAGAGAGATTCCTCAGGCAGAAGAAAAATAATTCCAGATGAAGCTCAGAGATGCAGAAGGATTACGAGAATAGGAAGAGCAAAGATGTAGTGAAAACTAAATGAACATTGACTGTGTAAAGTAATTAGAATATGTTATAGGACAGTGGTCCCCAACCTTTTTGGCACCAGGGACTGGTTTCATGAAAGTCAATTTTTCCACAGGACTGGGAAACACATCACATTTACTGTGCAATCAAACCTCCCTGCTAATGATCATCTGTATTTGCAGCTGCTCCCCAGCACTAGCATCAGTGCCTCAGCTCCACCTCAGATCATCAGGCATTAGATTCTCATAGGGAGCCGCAACCTAGATCCCTCGCATGCACAGTTTACAGTAGGGCTCGCACTCCTACGAGAATCTAATGCTGCCACTGATCTGACCAGAGGTGGAGCTTATGCGGTGATGCGAGCAATGGGGAGCGGCTGTAAATACAGACGAAGCTTCACTCACTCACCCGCCGCTCACCTCCTGCTGTGTGGCCCGGTCCCTAACAGGTCTCTGACCAGTACCGGTCCACAGCCCAGGGGTTGGGGACCACAGGAATACACTGTCAGCTCTTCTGGGTCTCTCCCTTGCCAATTCACCCTGCAGATTTTGGGACTTTTCAGCTTTCATAATCATGTGAGCCAATTCTCCCAACTTCTTTTTTGTTTTCTTTTCTTTTTTTGAGACAGGGTCTCACTCTCTGGCCTGGGCTAGAGTACAGTGGTGTCATCATAGCTCGCAGCAACCTCAAACTCCTGGGCTCAGGCAATCCTCTTGCTTCAGCCTCCCAAGTAGCTGGGACTACAGGCACACACCACCACGCCCAGCTAATTTTTCTATCTTTTGTAGAGACGGAGTCTT